CATGCCCTTATGGTACCTTCGCATATCGAAGGATGCCTTTTGGGTTATGTAATGCACCAGAAACCTTTCAAAGGTGCATGATGTCAATCTTCTCTGATCTTATAGAGTAGATGGTAGAGGTCTTTATGGACTTTCTGTATATGGCGCTTCTATTTTGCTTGTTTGTTGAATCTTTGCAAGGTACTCAAGAGATGTGAGGAGACAAACTTGGTGCTGAACTGGGAGAAGTGTCACTTCATGGTGAAGGAAGGGATTGTACTCGGTCACAAGATATCTGAGCAAGGAATAGAGGTTGACAAAGCGAAGATTGAGGTCATGATGAGTCTTGAGCTGCCGGTTAATGTCAAGGGGATAAGGAGTTTCTTGGGGCACGCTGGCTTCTACAGGCGGTTTATCAAGGATTTTTTCAAGATAGCTCGCCCTCTTACACGGTTGCTATGCAAGGAAGCTGACTTTGTCTTTGATGAGGAATATCTTCACGCTTTCAAGACCATCAAGGAGGCTCTTTTCACAGCACCTATAAAACAAGCACCAGATTGGAACTTACCCTTCGAGATCATGTGCGACGGGAGTGACTACGCCGTGGGAGCTGTTCTTGGTCAGAGGAAAGACAAGAGGTTACATGTTATCTACTACGCCAGTTGTACCTTGGATGACACGCAAGTGAGATATGCTACAACCGAGAAGGAGCTGCTGGCCGTTGTGTTTGCTTTTGAGAAGTTCAGATCATACTTGGTGGGCTCTAAGGTTGTTGTATACACGGATCATTATGCTTTGAGGTATATCTACTCCAAGAAGGATACCAAGCCGAGGCTCTTAAGGTGGATTCTTCTTCTACATGAGTTTGATATGGAGATAAAAGATAAGAAGGGGGTAGAGAACGGTGTTGCTGATCACCTTTCTATAATGAGAGTGAATGATGCCTTACCCTTGGATGATTCACTTCCTAAAGAGCAAATCATGATGATCAACACGGTGGTATGCATACGGCTAGAGGATCAGTTTGAAGATGATTTGGCTTTGAGAGAAGAGAACCTGCCTTGGTATGCTGATATATTGAACTTCTTAGCTTGTGGAGAGGAACCTACTCATCTTGACCACTACCACAAGAAGAAGTTCATGAGAGACATCTCTCATTATTTTTGGGACGAGCCTTACTTGTACAAGAGATGAGTAGACAGCTTGTACAGAAGATGTGTTTCGAGAGAGGAAGTGCAGGACATCCTTCTACATTGCAACGGTTTGTCATATAGAGGACATTTTGCTTCTTTCAAGACGGCAACAAAGGTCTTACAAGCCGGGTTTTGGTGGCCATCGCTATTCAAGGATGCTCATGAGTTTGTTAAGTCTTGTGAAGCATGTCAAAGAGCTGGAAACATCACGAAGAGGAATGAGATGCCTCAGGTGCCAATCTTTAAAGTTGATGTTTTTGACGCTTGGGGGATAGATTTTATGGGTCTGTTCCCATCTTCTTACGGCAACAAATTCATCTTGGTGGCTGTTGATTACGTGTCTAAGTGGGTTGAGGCTATAGCTTCTCCAACTAACGACTCAAAGGTGGTGGTTAAACTCTTCAAGACCGTCATCTTCCCACGGTTTGGAGTTCCAAAAGTAGGGATCAGTGATGGGGGCAGCCACTTCATCAACAAAGTGTTTGAAAGTCTCTTGAAGAAGTATGGAGTGAAGCACAAGGTAGCTACACCTTATCACCCACAAACCAGTGGGCAAGTAGAGGTCTTGAATAGACAGATCAAGGCTATCCTAGAGAGGACCGTAGGTGTAACTCGGAAGGATTGGGCGGTTAAACTAGATGATGCTCTATGGGCTCACCGGACCGCTTTCAAGAATCCTATAGGTACCACTCCCTTCACTCTTCTATACGGCAAGGCATGTCATCTTCCTGTTGAGTTGGAGCATAGAGCATTGTGGGCCGTGAAGCAGCTGAACTTCAGTCTCAAGACGGCGCATGAGAAGAGGTTGATTCAACTACATGAGCTTGATGAGCTACGGTTATACGCCTACGAGAGTGCTAAGATCTACAAGGAAAGGACCGAGGCGGTTCATGACAAGAAGCTGGTTCATAAGGAGTTAAGGGAAGGCAGTCTGGTGCTACTCTACAACTCAAAGTTGAAGCTGTTCCCTGGAAAGCTGAAGTCTAGGTGGAGTGGACCGTTTGAAGTGAAAGAAGTCCTTCCTTATGGAGCGGTTACATTGGTTGGGAAGAGTGGTAATGCTTTCACGGTTAATGGGCACAGAGTCAAGCCCTACATGGCGAGTGATTGCAGCAAGGAGAGCACCACCATGATTCTCCAAGACACACCTCAAGCCTAAACCAAGTAAAGTCTAGCTAAAGACGTTAAAGAAAGCGCACTTTGGAGGCATTTCCATGTCTATCTTGTATATATTTTTGCTTTCTTTCTATTTCAATTTTATGCTTTTTATGTTTAAGTGTGTAGGTGAAAGGATAGGGGATTGTAGACCATGATCTTGGAGTCAAAAAAGGCGAGGAAAGTAGAAATATAGACTAGAGATCGAGTGCTAGATCGACTTATCCTAGCTCGATATTTACTAGATCGAGCTAGTCAATCGAGAGGAGTCAGTCGATCTAGACGAGATCGAGTAGACAATCGAGTGAGTCAGTCGATCATGAGAGGATAAACCACCCATACGTTTAGCTTGAAATGCAAACGAGGTGTGGATCGACTGACCTCACTCGATCCTAGAGGGTAGATCCATCAGTCTACTCGATCTGCCACTCGATCTTAGCCCAAACGACCCCCAAATCGATAATGTGGCTCGATCCAAGGAGCATAGCTTGAGTGACCAAAAATCATGGAACGAGGGGACACAATCGATCTAAGACTCGATGCATTCTGAATCGAGTCCCTGATTGATCAACCCTCTCGATCCTAGTCAACATGGGCATGAGATCGAGTCCTAGATCGACCAAATGAACTCGATCTCGTGCCAAGGTAAGTTTGTGTTTTCCCTCTTTTCTTCTTTCTCTCCAGTTTTAAATTTGAATTGTGGTCAAAGCAAGCATCTTTGACCATGAAAGATGTGCCTTGACTAATCTTTTGTCAGAAACCACTTGTATTGCCCATGATTTTCTTAGCCTTTAAATTTACATGCAACCACACACTCTCTCTCATTTGTATTTTGAGTTTTCTAAAGAAAGAGAGAGTGTGAGTTTCTATTTCTAAGGCTAATAACTTCTTGCTTTCATCCTTGCAAAAGATATTTTTGGTTTAATGATTTCTTGTTTAAATTTTTTTGGAATATTGCATTTTTATTGCTTTGGATGATTGTAGTTGTTAGGGAGTTGGACCCTACAAAAGGTCCAAGAACATTGGGCTCTGGTGCTTGTCAAGAATGGATTGCCCAACCTATCCCGAGGTAACCCTAGACTTCTTAGCCACCTTGGAGTTCACCTACAAGAATCCAAGCCTCCCCACTCCTTCTCAAGGTCACATCACCTTCAAGATAAGGAGGCAAGCCTATCACCTCTCCATCGCCGAGCTATGCCAAGCCTACGGTCTGAAAGCTAGTGCCAAGCTCGTCGAGTTTCCTCCTTTCACTCAAGCCAACGACTTGTGGGATCTGATCAGCAACGATGATTACAAGGCTAACACGGCCAAGATCAAGAGAGTCTGCAGTCCCGTGCTAAGATACACGCTCAAGCTCATCGCCAACACCTTCAGTGGACGGTCCGTGGCTCCCACAGTCACCAAGAACGAGCTGTGTTTCCTGTTCCAAGGCGTTAAGCACCTTCTGTGCGATCCTAAGGAGAATGACGAGCCGATGGAAGATGAGCTTGGAGATGATGTCAATTACGGATGCATCTTGGCTTCCTCTCTACTCAAAAGTACAAGGCATGGGCAATGAGGTGCAAGGCAAGCTCAGCGCTTATAGGAGGCTTCCTTACACCGATGTTTGTTCAAGCCGGAGTACCACTTCCTGACTTTGTGCCTTGCGCGGAGAGAGCTTATATGGACGAGACATACATGCACAACACAGACTCCTTGGGACGCACGCCAGCTGAAGGATTCTTTGCATACTTGTTCTATGAAGATGATTTTAGCAGCACCGCCTCCATCGCTGGAATCTTCCGTTTCCGACGCAATCAAAATTGAAGATCATCGCGAAACTGCTTGAAACCACAACCGCTGCGTCGTCTTTTTGCATAAAGCCGCCAGTAGAAAATGAAAAAAACTTCACCATGAGATGTTGAAGCCAAAAGTCAGCGGAATTGAAGATGAGCAGAATATTCGCCAGACCACTTCAGAGAAACGCCAGTTCTACAGATCCTGCACCACAATCACCCAAATGAACTCTCAAACTCTCGAATCTGTTCCACAAGAAGAAACCTCCACTTCACGACCACGGCAAACTATCAACAAAAAGTGAAGAATTTGCTCTTTTGGGAGTTGATCCAGCTTATCAAACGGAGAGAGTTTATTCAAAATCGTCAGGGAAAGAAAGTAAAACGTGCAGAAGGAATTCTGATCTTTGCCAGAAATTTATTATCTGATATACGAAAAACAAAATTCGATATACAGAAAACAAAATCTGATATACAGAAACTATAAAACAACAAAACTAACAATTCGGATCGATGGAGCGCTCTCTCTAGTGAGAGAAGAGAGCGTTTTTTTTTATTTTGATTTCAATTTCGCCTTTTACCTAAAGTAGACTTGTTTATGTTTTTTTTCTTAGTTAAAAAGATAGTTTGGAAAATGACAGGGGCATTGTGGTAATTCTGAAACGTGGTATCCCAACTATTGAAATTGTCCCTAAAATTCCCTACAAAACATTTCATAAACTGACTTTCGAGATACAACCTTTTCTTTTTTAACACTTTGGCTTAAATGTGACCGATAACACTGCATTTAATAAGTGTTATCTTGAAAAGTTTGTTAAACAGAAAGTGATCGACAAATCAGAAGAGAATTTCACCGAAAAGTAACCATTGGACTTAAATTCTGGCCAAAGCTGCACAACTATTCCTCAATCTTTGCCTTCTTACGAGCTAAGTACCGTTCTGTAGCAGCAGCGATCGCAACCTCGCTCTTCTTGTGCTGGTAAGTCGCTTTGGGAGCATCTTTCGCCGCCTCTTTGATTGATGAGTCTCTCTCTTCCGCAGCATCTGAACCAATCTTCTTCTCAGATGCAGCTTGCTTCTCTTCTTGCGGTTCCACACTTTTCCTCTTCATACTACTTGAACCAGTATTTCCAGATTCAGGCGACACTTCCTTCTCCGGTGAATCTGTTTTCTCCTCTGTCTTTGTTTCCTCTTTCCTCAGCTCCTCCAGCTTCTCCACCTTTCTTTGTTCCTCGAGTCTCTCTGCCTCTTTAGCTTCGACGTCTCGTGCTCCAAATGCAACGTTTTTCCCAATGTTGAAGTAGAAATCACTCAAGTCTTTCTTCTTTGTAACCTAACAGAAGATGTATAAACAAATGAAGAGGAGTGACATGAGTTTATTTAGCAATATAAACAACTCAAATTAAAATCCACCTAAGCTACATCGCCTAATCATTTGCTAATACTAAAAGCCAAAATATGCAACAAGGTTGTATGAAGAAAAAGATTAGGATCAAGCAAACTACATTGACATAGTTTCCAAACCTGAGCTACTTAAGACAAAAAGAACTTCAGCTATCTTAGCAAGAACTAGTTTAGTAGGCAAGAAACGAGGAGAAGCATCGACACAAAATCAGAACTTACATCATCTCTTTCCTCTCGAAGTTCACGCAATCTTTCTTCCGCCTGCCATTTCTGATCTTTCTCGAGTTTCCTTTTATAAGCACCAGTTATAAACTTTTCTTTATCCGAGAAAAGATGTTCGTCTTTCTCCCTCTCTTTAGCAAGCTTTCTCTCATAAATTATTTCCTGTTCTCTCCGTCTCTGGTCTGCCTTTTTCATCAATTGCTGTATATATTTTGGCTGCAAAATAGCAAACGATGCATAAGCAGAAGCCAAATTCGTCAAAGCTAAAAACACATAATAAAAGTGCAACAAACTACATGTAACACCATCAAAAGATATTCAAGACACACAATTTATTCCGCTTCAGAACATAGAAACAAGATTTCGATTCCATAAACACCATCGTATCTTTTTATAGTGTTTCTATTAAATGAGTCATATGTCTTCCTCTTATAAACAAAAAAAAGAAGAAGAATCTGATTACAGCCTAAGCTTTTTAATGATTACAAACTATAAGTAACACCATCAAAAGCTAGTCAAACACTCATCATTCATTCCTCTTCAAAAGATTGGAAACAAGACTCTAATTCCATAAACAAGATCATAGCTTTTTTCATGGTGTTAACTGAGTCATATCTTCTTCCTCTTAAAAACATAGAAAGAAGAATCTGATTACTATCTTAAGCTCTCTAACGAATCCACCATAACAGAGATTACATTACCTTGCGCTCTTCACGATCTTGCGCTCGTGGGAGAACTGCTTTCTGTTTCATGTCATCATAAACATCATCGTATGCGAAAGCTGAAGGATCCTCTTTCAAGGCTTTCTTATGCTGCTCCTCAATCTAATAAACACACACAAAAATCACTTAATCAAGGAGATAAAAAAATAAAAACTGAAAGAAACAGAGTCAGAACGATAGAGAGGAAAGCGTACTTCTTTAAGAGCTTTGGTCTTTGAAGCTTGTCGAGAAATCTCCTTCTCAACGTCGTGGTCTTCGTCTTCACCGAATATCGAAGCGGTAAGAAGTGGAGGCCGAGATGATGACTGCTTTTTCTGGGACGGAGCCCTGATTTGCAATCCGTACCTCCTCATTCTCCAATGTTCCTTCTTTCTGCGGAAAACCAAATTCAAAACCCTAATGAAACCCAAGGCGAAATCGGTGGATCAGCGATATATCTGGCGTTTGGGATTCAATTAGGGTTTCAATTCAGATTTGGAACTCACCTAGAGCTCGAAGAAGCTGGGATTCGGTGATGAAGCGTACAATAGAAGGGAGAGATAGAGAGGAAAACGTTTTCTGATTGATTTCTTACAAATTGGCAAAACAAACTCAAACCGTAATTGAAGTGAATATGCGAGGAGACGAGGAATGAGGAGTTTTAGCAAGAGGAACGAAGAAGGACAAAGGCGGTCAAGGAACTAATGGGCCTAATAATCCGATTATCCTCTTGGGTTGAATTCTTTAATGGGCCGATATGATGAAGTTCATCATCAAAAAAATTGCAGCTCTAATAAATAGGCATGTGATGAAGATGAGCAAAGTCGAAAATGTGAAAAGTTTCTCGAAGCATGTACGCCATTGCCCGATACTCAGCTTCAGCGAGGAAATATGAGACAGTTTCTTGCTTCTTGGTATTTCAAGATATAGGAGAGTTGCTTAAATGAACAATATATACAGATAATGTGGATATGCAGCCCAGTCAGAGTCAAAATATGCAATAATATCAAAATTGTTATTTCGCCAAAGAAAAAAAAATTGTGTCGAAGACCATATAACTATTCAAATAGCAACTTCCCAATGAGCAACTGGTCGTGGTTGCATGAACTGGGATAAGTTGTGAACAATGTAGCTCAGATTGTTGTGTTCTTTCAGTTAACCAAGGTCTTAAGTAGGCTCTTCGTACATGGTTCTATCGGTTCTCTAATTATTACATACACATCTGATTCACTAACCGCAAGTACAATCCTTCATTGTTTATTTATAGACGGAGAACAAATGGTTTATCTTCTCCTCTATGTGCATGACATCCTTTAATGTAGGAATAATTGCTCCCGTTAAAAAAGTAAGGACTTACGGCTAGATTTATATGTTTGAGTGAAAAGAGATCATAACGAGTATGGTGTACATAAAATAAAGAGCACGAGGTTTGGTTTTCCTACATCCCCGGGAGCTAATCCAGAACAAATTCATTAGAGCAAGATTGCTTATGATATCCAACATTACAATGCATACCACTCTTTTCCAGATAGACTAACTATGCAAACAGTATATACAGATGTCATTGCCCGATACTCAGCTTCAGCGAGGAAACATGAGACAGTTTCTTGCTTCTTGGTCTTTCAAGATATAGGAGAGTTGCCTAAATGAACAATATTGTACACGTGTTCTGCACCGCCTCCATCTTGGATTCTGAGATCAAAGACTACTTTGTTAATGCAGTTTGATCTCTCAAGCGCTTCAAACATAATGCTCAAATCTTCAAGTGCCTCTTTTGATGACTTATTACTCAAAAGCTCGCTCCCTTCTTGTCTGAGATCTCTCCTAGATCTTTCATATATCTCCAATCTACAAAAGTTATGGCTCCACTAACATCTAACTTCCTGTTATCATATTATTAGCTAGGACTAGTAACCTAAAAACGATTCTGAGATCAAAGTGATTTCAATCGGAGAGAACAACCAAACCTGAATGACGGGACTCTATATCACCTCGCAGAAACTGGGCCAATCGAGAACTAATGGATCCAAAAGCGTTAAGGAAAGAGGCCACAAATTTTTGCTCAAAGAATTCTTACTGTTTACAGATTTACCAAATCGTCTTCGTCTTTCCTTCTCAATCAAAGCGATCATCCCAATTGGATCCTTGTTTATCATCGTTCATCATACTCAATTATCCTACTTCTTCAGAAATTGAGGCTTCTTCTTCATTTTATTCACCGGAAACTTCCTATTTTGGATTTTGATTTCTTTTTTTTTGTCGTCATCTGATAAGATTAAGCCCATTAAGGGCAGTAGCGTACAACTCGGTTGGGTCTTACTAACATAATACCAAAAACAAAAGCCCTTAACACGTGTACAATATGTGTAAGTGAAAAAACAAAACACGTGTTCGGACGAGGATGATTTTAGCAGCACCGCCTCCATCTTCTCCTCTATGTGGATGACATCCTTTAATGTAGGAATAATTGCTCCCATTGAAAAAGTAAGGACTTACGGCTAGATTTATACGTTTGAGTGAAAAGAGATCATAACGAGTATGGTGTACATAAAATAAAAAGCACGAGGTTTGGTTTTCCTACATCCTCGGGAGCTAATCTAGAACAAATTCATTAGAGCAAGATTGCTTATGATATCCAACATTACAATGCCTACCACTCTTTTCCAGATAGACTAACTATGCAAACAGTATATACAGATGCCATTGCCCGATACTCAGCTTCAGCGAGGAAACATGAGACAGTTTCTTGCTTCTTGGTCTTTCAAGATATAGGAGAGTTGTCCTAAATGAACAATATATACGGATATGATGTGGGTATGCAGTCCAGTCAGAGTCGAAATATGCAATGATATCAAAATCGTTATCTCGCCAAAGAAAAAAAAATTGTGTCGAAGACCATCTAACTATTCAAAGAGCAACTTCCCAATGAGCAACTAGTTGTGGTTGCATGAACTGGAATAAGTTGTGAACAATGTAGCTCAGATTGTTGTGTTCTTTCAGTTAATCAAGGCCTTAAGTAGGCTCCTCGTGCATGGTTCTATCGGTTCTCTAATTATTACATACACATCTGATTCACTAACCGCAAGTGTAATCCTTCATTATTTATTTATAGACGGAGAAAAAAAATGGTGTATCTTCTCCTCTACGTGGATGACATCCTTTAATGTAGAAATAATTGCTCCCGTTGAAAAAGTAAGGACTTACGGCTAAATTTATACGTTTGAGTGAAAAGAGATCATAACAAGTATGGTGTGCATAAAATAAAGAGCACGAGGTTTGGTTTTCCTACATCCTCGGGACCTAATCCCGAACAAATTCATTAGAACAAGATTGCTTATGATATCCAACATTACAATGCCTACCACTCTTTTCTAGATAAACTAACTATGCAAACAGTATGAAGCCTGCATGTTTGACTACCACCCGTGAACTTCAAACTAGTATTTACCTTCATATTCTTTTTCTTCCTTTCATTCTTTTACCAACGAGAAACTAAAATTATTATTCTCATTGATCAAAGGAAAAATGTACATATGGTTTGACTTATATACAAAAGCTAAACCGAAAACCAATAAAATAATTAATCGGTTTATATGATACCGATGAACATCAATTAAGACTAATGTTGTGACAAACTGATTCTATGTGCTTGGTGCGCTCGTGAAAAACAGGGATCCTAGTGATGTGGATAGCAGCAGTATTGTCACAGAAAAGGAGAGTGGGTTTAGAGAGAGGAACCTGCAACTCCTTGAGGAAGTGAGTGAACCAGACGAGCTCATCAGTAGCCTTAGAGAGGCTACGATATTCAGCTTCTGCCGATGACTTTGGAACCATTTGCTATTTCTTAGATTTCCAAGAGATAGCAAAGAGCCCAAGAAAATGCAATAACCAGTAGTCGAACAGCGTGTGTCAAGACAAGAAGCCCAATCAGCATCTGCATACACTTGAATCTGAAGTTCCTACTTGACTAAGTAAAAGAGACCTTATCCTACAGTGCCCTTGATATAGTGGAGAACTTTGTACAGAGCCTGTTGATGAGCTAGGCGCAGAGCAGCAGAGAATTGACTGAGCTTATGGACAGCATAGGAAATGTCAGAGCGAGTTATCTGCAAGTACATCAACTTCCCAATGAGGTGTCTGTAGGATTCAGCATCAACGAAGTCACCACCCTTGTCCTTCGAGAGTTTTAGATGAGGGTCGAGCGGAACAGAGGATGGTTTACAGCCAAGAGACCAGTGTCATCAAGGAGATCAAGTGCATACTTACGTTGGCGTACAGAGATGCTTTCAGCGGATCTAGCAATCTCCAAGCCAAGAAAGTATTTCAAAGGACCTAGATCCCGTAGCTTGAAGAAAGACTTGAGATCAGTCTTCAGGGCATCAACAGCAGAATCATTGTTCCAGGCAATGATTATATCATCAACATACACTAATACGCAGATGAAAATAGAAGAGGTAATCTTCAGGAAACAAGTGTGATGAGAAGCAGCTTGTGTAAAACCCAAGCCAAGGAGAGTGGTAGAGAACTTGAGAAACCACTGACGAGAGGCTTGCTTAAGACCATAAAGGGACTTTTTGAGTTTGCAAACAGCATTAGGCGGAAGGTCCCCCTTTCGTGAAAAATAGCCCGGAGGAAGCTTCATGTAAATCTCTTCGTCTAAGTCTCCGTTGAGAAAAGCATTGGAGATATCCAATTGGGTGAGAGAAAGACCAAAGATTGCTGCAAGAGCAAGCACAAGCTTCATCGAAGTCAGCTTAACCACCGGGAAAAAGGTTTCATTTTAATCGACACCTTCTTCCTGCGTATATCCTTTGGCAACCAAACAAGCTTTGTAACGCTCAACACTGCCGTCTGCATTGAACTTCACCTTGAAAACCCACTTGTAACCAATGCAATGCTTATCGGGTGGTAAAGTGCAGATATCCCAAGTGTCAGTATCTTCGAGAGCAACAATCTCAATATCCATTGCATCACACCACACCAGAAATCTCTTTGATTCAGTATAAGATGAGGGTTCTTTCTCTTTATCAATAGAAGCTAAGAAAGAATATTAAAGTAGAGCAATTTTGTCATAAGAAAGATATTAAAATTTTTTGTGAATGGTTGAAGACATTACTGAATCACAGTAATAATCTTGAAGATGAGCAGGCTTTTTGGTCCTCCAATGTGATTTTGGGACAGAAGGTCCAGCAACATAATTAGTAGAAATGGCAGATGGCACATGTTCTACGGAAGGTGAAGACAGAGAAGTGTCAACACCGGAAGATTGAGGATCCATAGGAGGTTTGTCCATCATATCAGAAAAGAGATTAGAAGCTTCGTGAGAAAGATCTGAATGAACGAAAGGAAAGAGCTCTTCATGAAAGACGACATGTCTAGATATTAAGATCTCATTAGACTGAAGATCAAGAAGTTTGAAGCCTTTGTAACCTTTTGGATAGCCAAGGAAAACACAAGCTCGAGCTCGGGGATCAAATTTATGTTTGCCCTTAGAAGAAGTGGAAGCGTAACAGAGGCAACCAAAAACTTTAAGTTGCGTGTAGTCAGAGACTTTCTTCGTTAAAACTTCAAAAGGACTCTTGTCTTCGAGCACAGGAGCAGGGGTACGGTTTATTAGGTGAACTGCGGTTAGAATGCAGTCTTTCCAGTAAGGAAGAGGAATGTGGGATTGAAAAAGAACGGAATGAGCAACATTCAGAATGTGTTGGTGTTTGCGTTCAACGACAGAGTTTTGTTGGGGTGTTTCGGGGCAAGAATGAGAGGGAACAATGCCTTTAGCTTTATAGAATTCAGTGAACTTAAGTTCTTGAGCATTGTCGGATCTAACCCCCTTAACTCTAGTCTCAAACTGTGTTTCCACCATTTTAATGAAGGTGGAAAAGACCTCTAACACATCTGACTTGTTCCTAAGGAGATAAACCCAAGTAGCCCGAGAGCAGTCATTGACAATTGTCAAGAAATATCTATACCCATCATGAGTAGTAACAGAAAAGGGACCCCAAGTGTCTAAATGAACCAAATCGAAAGGATTATTATTGAGATTATTATGAGACACAAAAGGAATATGCTTCTGTTTAGCAAGATGACAAATCCGACAATGAAACTCTGGATTATTCTTTTGTTTAGGAAAAAAAAGAACATCATACATAGGATGTATCTTAGACATAGACGGATGACCTAGCATTTTATGCCACAAATCATGACTAGATACATTCGCAACAACAGAAGAAATTGAAGTACCTTGAGAGGTAAGAGACTCTATATCCAGAAAATAAAGCTTAGCCACCTGTCTATCCATTCCAATCATTAATCCCTGTGTACACTCCTGAAGAACACAAGAAGACTCATCAAACCAAATTCTACAATCCATAAACTTTGTTAAAGAGCTAACACTAAGAAGGTTAAACTTGAACTGAGGTATATGCAGGACATCAGTAAGAATTAAGTTTCTACCCAAGTGTATAGTTCCTAAACCGACAATGCTCACAAGAACTCCAGTAGGCAAAGTAACGGTAGTATTTGAGATGGTTTTATAAGTAGGAAAGGAAGATTTTTTTTGAGAAATGTGGTTAGTTGCTCCTGTGTCGATGACCCAATCATTAATAGCTACAGTGTTATTGTTAACAGAGCAGACATAAGGCTTATCAATTCCGGTAAAAGAACAAAAAAATAGAGGGGTAAAAGTTACCGGAGAGGTCAGAGGAAACTGAAACAGAGTGAACCGCTGGTGTTGTGGTGGTGCAAGGAGCTTGAAGCTTGCTACTCAAGAATGACACTAGCTGCTGTATTTGTGCGGAAGAAAAATCCTCTGTAACAGTCGCTGGTTCTGGTGGAGAATCAGTCATAGCCACATTCGCTACAATGGATCCTGACTTCTTGTGTTTAGACTTGAAATGCGCAGGATAAACATGCTTCTTGTAGCAGCGATCAACCACATGACCGACTTTTCCACAATATGAGCACAGAGGTTTATCTTCTCGAGATGCTTCTACAGGATTCTGAGAACTCAAAGCAGGTACTGCAACATGAGTGTGAGATGTCTGAAACGCAGAAGAAGCAAGATCACAGGACTGGCGAGCAGACTTTTGACTTTCTTCCTGATCGAGCATGTTGTACACTTCAGAGAGTGTAGGAAAAGTCTTCATCATCAGGATGCAACTACAAATGCTCTCATAGTTGTCATTCAAGCCCATAAGAAAATCAATAACCCTGTTTGTCTCACGATCAGCAATCAAATCTTCAACAATGTGAGCTGTGACTTGTAAGCTAGACAATTCCTCCCACCGTGACTGAACCTGAGTATGGTAGGATGATAGATCAGACTCAGCAATCAAATCGATTTTTTTTTTAAAAAAGAAAAAATTGGCAAATCACAGTTTGTCACATCACCAGAGAGACGCTTCTACAATATCTGTCGCAGAGAATCTCGGTTCTGCCTCTCCATTTCGCTACATTATTAATTTTCTTTTTTCTTTTTTCTTTTTGCTTTAGAATCCCTCAAAAACTTACAATTACAGATGTTCTTAAGTTCCAAAGTCGGCAACAACAATTAGACCACTTTAGGTGGGCCTTTTCGCATCTAGCTTAGAAAATAGGCTTCTGCACATTAGAAATAAGACTAAGAATTAATTCTGTTTTAAAACAAAAATAAATCAATTTGAATTAATATTAAGAATAAATTGTAAGAAAATGTAAAGTTCATAACAAATCACTAAAACCAAACTAAATCAAATCATCATATAATATATAAAAGTTGATGACATAGTGCATTGAGGGCATCCACATGAGATTAAAAAATTCGATCTGATTAGTCCACATCAGCAAATTCATTAAATAGAAAAATGTTACGTATGATTAGGACGGAAAAACTTGATTTAATTGGTCCACATCAGCTTTTAAATCAAACCAAAAATTATTAAGTATAATAAAAACATCAAAAGTTAATTTAACAAATTATGTCGAACAAAAAAAGTAAATTCAATCTCATCGATCCAAATCAACATATTTATTGAATCAGAAAATGTTAATATGGTTTAAAAATATAAAATTTAGATAAAAATATTAATAATTAACAATACATGTATAAAAAAAATAACTATTATCAATTATCAATTTAAAAAAATCTACAACAACTCGATTTAATAATTAAAACAATGAAAACTGAATAAAAATATAACATAAAACTCTTGGAAGACATGATGGAGAAGGAAAAAATGGTTTTGCATGATCATTACAACTTCCTTACAAAATTAAATACGAATCAACATAAATCATGGATTATATATACAGTGGTACGCAACATCAATAAGACTTTCAATAAAAAAATTAAATATTTGAACACATAGACCTTTAAAAAAAAACTATAGAATTTCTATAGAAAACAGAAAATAATACCAAAATCTTAGCAAAATTATATTTCTCTAAATAATATGTATATGTACGTCAAAATTGGCTAATTCGATAGGTGTCATTGTTATTATTTTACCTAATAGTTTTTTAAAATTTATATAGAAATTGGATAAATTACACATTATATATTAAATTCTCTTATATAAATAAAAATTTCTATAAATATATATAATTTTTAATAATTTTAAAGATAGTAGCTAAAAAAAATAAACTAAAATATTAATACACACTCGCACGTAGCGCAAGTTATATACCTATATATATATATTAACTAATAGATATACTTTTCGATTTTGATTTTACTGTTCATTAAAAGATAATAAAAATTTATTTGAAAAACTACAAAAAATTCAAAAAATACCATAACAATAAGTTTGAAAAATTAATCAAACAATATTCAATAAACTAAAACAATAATAAAATGTAAAATACTTTAATTATATTTATCTAAATATATAATTATTCTTTTATTTTATTAATAAAAATATGCACTTACGAAATTGTTTTTAAAAAAATACACAAATTATTTAAAAGGTTCATTTTAATATATAAATATTTAATTTTGTTTTGGTTTTGACCTCCTCTATTGATGAATGTGTCATTAGTTATATTTTTTATAAATTAAAATTTTAAATATAAAATATAATTATCTTAAAATTATAATTTATTTTTTGTTTGAAATCTTTTTGGGTTTTTAGCATCGAAGATGCTTATCATGTTCAACGCAGGATTTTAATAAGGGTTCTTAGCTTAATAAGAATAAAAATTAAATGAAAATTAGCTAATAAACTAAAAGCCGATTCTTAGTTAAGCGATTCAAGAAATGATTCTTAAATGCCATGTATCAGGTGTTTGAAAACAGATTCTCTCTCTTCTTTTCTTTCTCCGAAGCTATGCTCGATTCCTCCTTGTTTCAACTCACCCCTACTCACACCAGGTCAGTCTCCACTTCTTCTTTCTGATTATAATTTTGCTTGACATTTGATTTTGATCTTGAACAGTGTTTTTATGTGTGTATTGGATTTTGAAAGATTCGATTTGGTGCTTTTCTGTGGGAGTAAGAAGGAGAAATTGGCTTCTGAAATTTTCGAACCCTTCATCTCTCACCTCAAATTCGCTAGAGATTAAATCTCTAAAGGCGGTTACTCTATTTCTCTTTCCATCATAAACTCAATTCCTCTTTTATGTTTGTATTCAAAATATAAACTTTAAAAAAAATCTTAGATGAGGTTATTCCATTGGAAGAGAAAAAACACAGATATCTTAATAAAGATTTTTAGTAGAAATTTTATAATTAAATATTAAGTAAGAATATTAAGACTTTTTATATTGCATGAATTAAACAGTTGAATTATTATTTTAGTAATAATATATAAGGGCATGCCACTTGTAGGTGGTGAAGGTGATGTGGTGGCGATGATCGTGGCCACACTTGTCGGGTGTTGGGATTGTGAGTTTGTACGTAGAAAAGCCTGTGGTTGTGAGAAAGAGAGATTGTTCATCGACTACACTGAAGATAACCCAAGTGCGGTTTTAAGCTTCGACCATTAACCTTTTGGTGTTCCTCTTGGTCACAAGGTTCATGTTTCGTTACTTGTTTGAATCTGATCTCAATTGGGTTATTTCAGGTAAAACTAAGTTTTGAATTAGCAATAATTTGTTTATATTAAATAATGTTATCTTGCTAATTGAGTTAGCACAAATCACCTGTAAAAACCAAGTCAAGATTGTTTATCAAAAGAATTCAACTGTTTTAAAGAGGTTGAGAATTTCAAGAAGTAAGAAGTTTTAAGAGCTGGTCGACGAAACTCTCTTTGGGAACTCCTCGATATTCCTTTTCACTGCCTTTAACCATCTTCTTCAACGTAACAACTCCTCCATCGAGTTCTCGTTCGCCAACTTTCACCATCCAAGGGATCCCAGATTTCGTGGCGCGCTTCAAATGCTTTTCCCATCTTTTGCTCACAAGGTACTCTGCTTTTATCTTTGCTCCCCAAAGCTCACTCACCAATCCCGCAGCTTCTGCTAGCTTATCCTCCGCCACGATACTCACCAGGACTTGCGTCTCTGTGGCTCGAACCACCTACCAATTTTAGTTTTAGTTAACAGATTAAAGCATATACCCTTGTACAAGTCAAGTGTGTGTGTACCTGTTTTTGTTGCTTTTGAACTTCTTCCATTATGGTAATACCGAGACTCACACCAGCTGCTGGTACGTGCTGTGTCCCCAGCATTCCAATAAGGTTATCGTATCGCCCACCAGCACCAATCGTTCCAACCTTAATCAAAAATATCAAAGAAAAAACTTTATTAAGAGTTGTTCTCATCTTAAAACCCTAGCATGATTTAAAACCCTAGCATGAGTTTTTTTTACCTCAGCTCCTTTGCAGACGGCTTCAAAGATAACGCCGGTGTAGTAATCAAGACCTCTCGCAAGACTCAGATCAAAGACTACTCTGTTAATGCAGTTTGATCTCTCAAGCGCTTCAAACATAATGCTCAAATCTTCAAGTGCCTCTTTTGATGACTCGTTACTCAAAAGCTCGCTCCCTTCTTGTCTGAGTTTCGACAGCAGTTCCATTGGCTGTCCTCTTTCCTTAACAAAACTGCCGATTCTGTCTGCTGTCTCCGGAGATAAACCCTTTTCCTCCACTATCTCTTTCTTCACTTGCTCAAACGATTGCTTGTCTAACTTGTCGATACTGGAACAGACGCTTCTGAAATTCTCCGGTGACACTCCACATATCTCCAGCATACCGTCGAGCAACTTCCGGTGACTCAGCTTCACCTCGTAGTCTCCAATTTTTAGTTCATCGAGCAGTTCTGTCAGGATCTTGACAATCTCAAAGTCGGGTCCCATCTTTTCAAACACACCAGCAATATCGAGATCGCATTGATAAAACTCCCTGAATCGTCCTTTAGAGGGATTATCCCTTCTGTATGATTTACCTATTTGGTATCTTTTGAATGATGTGAGACCATTCATTGCCACATAGCGTGCAAATGGAACCGGTAAATCATATCGTAAAGAATAGAGCTCTCCTCCCTGTATCATGCATGCATATATATATAGCCATATTTTAAGATTTTTTTAAAAAATAAATTCTTAACATATTTGACTTTACCTGGTCAGCGAGATCATAAATCAACTTTGACTCTTCTCCGTATTTCCCCATAAGTGTGTCTCTCAATTCGAAAACAGGTGTATCAAGAGCAGTTGCACCATGCCTCTTGAAAACATCTTGTATGATTGAAAACGCTTTTTCTCGGACTGCCATTTGCTCTTTCGCAAAATCCCGAGTACTCTGTCATGAATCAAACAAATGAGAATACTCCTATGTTTAGCGAAGATACGAATCAAGAAAACGAATCTTGATTACCTTTGGGAGCTTCGGGAGTCTCCTGTCTTCATTACTCTCTATGATCTCTTTGACTTTATCCAAAAAGCAAGCAAAACCAAGATCCTCGAGGCTCAAAAGTGTCAAGACTTTCTCCATCCAATGCTTCAGTGTCTCAACCTTATCATCACCAGCGCTTGTATCTTTAACGAGCCTGTCTTTAATAAACTGGACAAGTATGCTTGTCCCTTTACCCAAGGCTGCTTTCTTATCACTCTTTTCATTCGCATTAGCATCAACACTAAACAATTTTCCGCCTTCAAGTGCAAAGAAGGCAGCCATAGCTTCCCAACCAACAATTCTATACAAAATCCCAAGGGACTCATTCACAAAGTGAGCAAATTTGCAGTAGTCTTCTTCATCAAAGAGGGCATTGTATGCTGCCTTCTGAGCATTCTTCAGACTCTCATACTCAAGAAAGCACTTTCCGAAACCATGATCTTGGAGTCAAAAAAGGCGAGGAAAGTAGAAATATAGACTAGAGATCGAGTGCTAGATCGACTTATCCTAGCTCGATCTTTACTAGATCGAGCTAGTCAATCGAGAGGATTCAGTCGATCTAGATGAGATCGAGTAGACAATCGAGTGAGTCAGTCGATCATGAGAGGATAAACCACTCATACGTTTAGCTTGAAATGCAAACGAGGTGTGGATCGACTGACCTCACTCGATCCTAGAGGGTAGATCCATCAGTCTACTCGATCTGCCACTCGATCTTAGCCCAAACGACCCCCAAATCGATAATGTGGCTCGATCCAAGGAGCATAGCCTGAGTGACCAAAAATCATGGAACGAGGGGACACAATCGATCTAAGACTCGATGCAATCTGAATCGAGTCCCTGATTGATTAACCCTCTCGATCCTAGTCAACATGGGCATGAGATCGAGTCCTAGATCGACCAAATGAACTCGATCTCGTGCCAAGGTAAGTTTGTGTTTTCCCTCTTTTCTTCTTTCTCTCCAGTTTTAAATTTGAATTGTGGTCAAGGCAAGCATCTTTGACCATGAAAGATGTGCCTTGACTAAACTTTTGTCAGAAACCACTTGTATTGCCCATGATTTTCTTCGCCTTTAAATTTACATGCAACCACACACTCTCTCTCATTTGTATTTCGAGTTTTCTAAAAAAAGAGAGAGTGTGAGTTTCTATTTCTAAGGCTAATAACTTTTTGCTTTCATCCTTGCAAAAGATATTTTTGGTTTAATGATTTCTTGTTTAAATTTTTTTGGAATATTACCTTTTTATTGCTTTGGATGATTGTAGTTGTTAGGGAGTTTGGATAATTTTTAGAAATAGCTAGATATTAGAAAAACTTATAGATTTAATCCTATCTCTAGATTTTCTTCTCTTGTATTTAGCAATAGTTTTTATATATTCTCCAAAAATCTATGATTATAGTTTAATATTAATCGAAACTATTTTATTTTGAAAAATCAACATAAAAAACCAACTAACCAAAAAAACAGAAAAGAAACTATGTCTATAAAATATAAATCAGCAGTATATTAAAGAAGCTAAACTAGCGAAGGAATTCTTAACATAAACACAAAATTAAATTAGGGTGCAAGTGGTTATATGTGAGAGAAATAGAAAGAATAATGATGAGTAAAAAAATGAGTTGAACAAAAAAAATTAACTTAAAACCTTCATAAATTAATAATGTTGAAATTTTAATTTTTTATTAATTTATAAAGATATTTTTATTTTATATTCTTAATATTCATTAAAAAGACAAAATAATATTTTTAACAATGTAAATTCATTCAGAAAATGCCATATCAGTGAATTTGGAAACTGAATAATAATTATAATCATGAAACAAGAATATAATAATATTTTATTATATTGCATCATTTACATATCCATAAATATATAATTATTAATTTATATAATTATTGAGACAATATTTTTTGCATAGAAGTTTAAACAAACACATTATCTTATTATCTTATCAAAATTTGCTAATTTTTATATTGTGTCCTGATTCAAAATCGACAAAAATTATTAATTTATAATGATTATTAATTTATCAAATATTAATATATAAAGGTTCTACGGTAGTTTTGTTCAATCATATTATTTTCATTTGTTGCAGAGTAACAATTTTAGAAAAATAAAGTTTATTTACTATTTATTTAATGAGATCCATTTTATGTAGTTTATGTATTTTTCTTTCTTAAGATTATCTATAATGATTTACATTATCAACACCCTAATTTATATTCTATATCATCATTTTTCTCTTATACTTGATAATTCAATATGCATTTACATTTTATACTTTACAATTTCTAAAAGAATTTAACACCTTATCTCACTAATTTTTATTTTACACTTTTAATTTCTTTTATGATTTGATTATTGTGATTACATATTAATGATAATTATTATTTGAAACTAAATTAAATTAATTATGAATTAGATTAATTTTGTTAAAAAAATATTTTTTTATTATATTATTTTCAAATTATTAAAAAATTCAATTTATAAAGACAAAAAAATATTCATTATTAAAACAAAAAAAATTAGAAAAAATACAATTCAAACGATAATAAACACACAACACAACTAATAAAACATATATAACTTAAAACACATAATACACTCAATTTATAAACAATAAAATACTTAAATCATATATAGAGAATTAAAAGTATCTTTAATTATAATACATTTTGAATTTTGCTTATATGTGTTTGACTAAATCAGCTTGCAATTCGTGATGTACATTTAAATCGCGTAGTTCAGATCTAGCATGCACATGATTTGCAAATACTGGTAGCACATCAGTTGAGGATGGTTGTTGTGTACTAGGTCCACTAGCCTCAGATTGAACATAATCGGTCGAATGTTGAGCGTATGTATCTCACTCACCCTCAACAATCATATTATGCAATATGATACACAACCTCATGATGATAGCTAAATCAGCTATGTCCCACATGCGAGCTGTTTTTCGAATGATTTTGAATCGAGTTTGCAACACTCAAAATGCATGTTCAATGTCCTTCCGACATCCCTCCTGATGCTGTGAAAATAACTTGTATGGTTCACTTTAAGGAAGTTTAAATGATTTGACAAAAGTCGGATAAGAAGGGTAGATACCGTCTGCTAGATAGTATACCATATTATACAGATGTTGGTTCACGAAGAAGTTCACTCTTGGAGTATTTCCCTGTTTAACATCATTGAATACTGGTGAACGGTTTAGAAACATTTATATCGTTCAATGTGCTCGGACATCTGAAGAAAGCATGACAGATGCATAGATCATGAGATGTAACATCTTCAAAGATCACAGTGGTGGTTCCCTTGTCTCCCCAAGTAAATTGACCTACCCACGTTGTAGTGCATGCAATCAATACTCCCAATCATTCTCGGGAATCCTCTTGTTTCACTAACGTGTAATATTCTTTGTAAGTCATCTTAAGTTGGGGCTCTCAGATACGCTTCCTCATACAATTGAATGATTCCTTTACAGAATCTATGCAAGCACTCCAGTACCTCTTATTTTTAAGTATTCATCAATGGCGTCGGCTGCCACACCATATGTTAACATTTGCATGGCCGTGGTACAATTTGCTAATGGAGAATACCTTCTTTATTTGTTGCATCAACTCTTTGGATGAAGTAGTTATCACTCCTTTATAGTCCCCAACAATTCGACAAAAAACATGTTTTCTCATCCGGAATCATCGACGAGACATTGCATCATCATATGTTGGTTGGTTGGCAAAGTAATCATCAACCAGTCTTTGGTTTTTTGCTGCATGATCTCTCTTGTAATATTTTTTTCATGGTATGTGGTGCATAGTGTTCTTCTATTTTCTTTCAACACTCTATAAATCGGTTGACGATATATGTGGTAGCCCGACCCGGCAAACCATACCGCAGCCGTGCCCCACTACATCTTAACAGTTCGGTTCTATACTGAGCCAAATTTTTAAACTTTTTCTTTCATTTAACCAATACACGGCAGATTCAAAAACAACTCATTTCATTAATAAACTTGCATAAAAACACTTAATCAGATTCAGGGTCAACTTAAACAAATCACAATGGTTCGCTAATGAATACATCTTATCATCTAGCAACTTAAAACGCTTAACACCAAAGCCCATAAGACAAAACACACGTCTCAAACATAAATAAACACCCAATCCCTGATCCATCCATATCCATCACTGCTGCCTGGTCTCGCTCCCTTTACTGCTTAGTACTGCACACTCAAGAAGAGAGGCATAAGTATTTGATAAATACTTAGTGAGTACGGTCATCCCGTAACACCTGGTCAATAATCACGCATTCATACTATCGGATTCAACATCCCACACAATCAATTCGCAATAGACATATATCGAACAGCTACGATCATCTAACCTAACCAACCAAGATCAATCCCTTTTTAAGACCCATGTCTACATCATCGAGAATCCCACATCCCCTAAGCTAGTACATGATCTGGATTACCCTAAGGTTAGCTAGACATCATCTATGCCACGGTAAACACCTCACAATACCATAACACATAATCGCTTAACAGTTCTAAACACACAACATGACAATCATATAATCAAACATGCAAAACATCAAACCCTAGCTATCCAACGATCCTAGAAATCAACTACAGTCACGCACTCACCTTAAACAAGGTTGGAAACAGATTGGTCAGAAGAAATCCTGATGAAATCCACGTGGAAACGAAGATATCCGATCACCCTAGGAATCTCTCGGCTGTCCGTACGATCCGATCCCTTTCCGTTCGGCTATCTCTCGATCCGTTCACCTTTCTCCGAGCCAAACTCTGTTTACCCTCGGAAACCCCACAAAACAAGCCTATTAGCTCGAGTTTATCCGATGGGAACTCGATACTTATGGAATTGTTCAGTCGCTTACTAATTTATCTCGGCGATGGTCAGATCTGCTCGGCGATAGCTCGATCTCTCTCGGATGTCCTCGGGATAAACTGCTTTTCTTAGGGTTTCTCTCAACTAAACTCTCTCTTTGCTTTATTTAGCTCAAATAAACGTAACACCCTCGAGTTAAGTCTCAAAAATCCTTATATACTCGCAAAACCCTAGGTAACTCGGACTTAACCGATGTTTTCCTGGTTCTAGTAGGATTTATTCCAAACCGATTAGATTCTCTCGGCTATTTTCTATACCGACTGATCATCCACGAGATAAACCAACAAAATAGCCAACAAAACACTTGGCCCACGGCCCAATTCCCTTCCCTCTCGGATAAACCGCCCTTATCCGAGTTATTTCCATTTTCCAT